CGCTGGTGTGCGCCCCCCCGCTGCGCGGCGCCCTCGCCATCCGCTGCGATCCCGGCGTTCCCGGCGCCGCTCCCGACCATCCCGGCGCTCCGCCGGAGCCCAAAGGCCGGAGGAAGAAGAGGAGGAAGGAGCGGGAGAAGGAGCCGGAGGTGCCGGCCGTGCGCACCCCCCCGCACCATTCCCAGCCGGAGCCGCGTGCGGATTGGGAATGCGGCCCCCCCGCCCCATCCCCACCGGCTCCCACGGACACTGAGGAGGCGCCGAGGAAGAGGAAGAAGCACAAGCGGAAGCGGGAGCAGACGGAGCTGCCGCCGGGAACGGGGCTGCCTCCCGCCGCGGAGGAGATCCCGGCGTGATCCCGCGCGATCCGGCTCCGTCCCGGCAGGATCCAGCTCCTTGGGATGTGTTACGGAGCGGGAAGCGCTGCCCACGCCGGCGTTTTTCCGCGTTGCTGGATGCGGCGGCTGGGAATTCCCGGGAATCTGCGACCGCGCCTCTGTTTGATGCCGTTTATTATGAAAATAAAAGCGGGATTCACCGGCGCCCGGCAGCTCCCGTCACTTGGGCGCCTTCCGGAAGGGCTCGTGCAGGACGTCGAAGAGCCTCTTGGCCTGGAAAGAACCAAAAATGGAAGGGAAAAATATCCGGGAAAAATATCCAGGAAAAATATCCAGGAAAAATATCCCGGAAAAATATCCAGGAAAAATATCCAGGAAAAAAAGGGAATGCTGAGGGAAAAGCGGGAATGCTGCTCCCTGCTTCCCGGCGCCACTCACCTTCTGCGGCCCCACGCCGGGACACAGGGACAGATCCTCCTTGGAGGCTCTGGCCATGGCAGCCAGGGACTGCGGAGAGAGGCGGATGCGGGATAACGGTCGCGAATATTGGGGAATGTTTTTTTTGGGAACAAATCCCGCTCCGGAAAGCGGGCCGACTCACGCCGAAGGTGGCCAGGAGGCTGCTCGTGTCCGTCTTGTTGACCGACTTGACGCTGGTCAAGCAGTCGGTGACCTGGGGGACGGCGGCGCTCGGGTCCCCTCCGGCCGCTCCGGAAGCGGGAGCCGCGGCGCGCTTACCCGGGAGAGGAAATCCCGCTCCACCTTCTCCATGAGGAGCTCGGCCGGCTTCTGCTCGTAGGCCTTGTAGGTCTCCAGGTAGCGGCCGGCCTCCTCGGGGCTGCCGCGCCGCGGGAAGAGCCCTTGGGTGTCCCCAGGGGCCGGCGCACCCGCGGGGGGACACGGGGACACCCCGTGGGGGGGCGCGGGGACACCC